GTCTTGAACAGGATCATCCTGACTGTTCTCAAGCCCAACCCATGATGGAGAGGAGACTGCCAAGTTTGCTCTATTTACCAGTCTGTTGTTTGTCATCTCCTTGGAATCTCATCACCAACATATGCCTGGATGTCTTTACCTTCATAACTACACACAACAGCTCACACTTTTGGGCCCATTTCCCACAGGCACCATTATTTACCATTTCATGTAGCTGGACATTTCATTTTGTGCACATGGACACAGGCCCAGCCTTGGGGACATACCATCTGCTCAGGTGTGCAAGGCCCATACTTAGAAAGGCTCTACACTTGGTTGAATTTGCTGAGTCTTGAAAGGCTTAACTTTTTTTTTAACAAGGGACACTGCATTTTTATTTTGCACTGAACTTGAAAGTGATGTAGCCAGCCCTGTACAGAAAACTAACTACTTCAAGGTGAACTTCTGTCAAGTCCGCCTATACACCTGAGATGGAAGTCACTGCAAACAGGTTCTGAGTTTAGCTCCTTGTTTCAGCGATTATTTTAGCTATCATTCACCTGGCAGTGTGACTATCATACACCCAAAAGTTCAGGCAGTCCAGAAATACTTTTGACATTTCATAATGGGTAGTGATATTGACCAAAAGTTTCTCTGGACTTAGCGGCCCTTCAATATCTTGTTATCAAATATACAGGCAGCCCTCTATATCTTCAAATTCACAAACAATACCACCTCCAAATGCTGGTTCATAAAGTTTCCATTCTATAAACTTAATGTGTTATGCAGAATTTAACATTTCTTTAGCTTAATTTATTAAGCTTAATTTGAATAAGGGTGTTCCGAATGCCATCAGATATAACAGAAGGGTTGGAATTTGGGTTATTGAATACTTATACCTAACCAGATCAGTGGCTTGTACTCAGAATGCAAGAAGAGCCAACCATCCACAAAGGATGGAAAGTATTTCGACACATTATTTCCTTAGCCATGTCAGATTTGAAAGGGCTGTCCTTAAGGTGAGTGACAAAAAGGGGTCTATAAACTATGCGTCTATCTAAGGACATTCCATCACAAACTCAAAGCCATTCCTTAAATTGCAAATGTCATTTTCTTCCTATCCACACGAGACCCTGACACAGAACTGTCACAGGTTCTGATATAATAATTGGCCATTCATTCTCCAGAGGCCTGAGATCAAAAGAGCTTACCACATACCTGTGAGTGGACATTAAAACACTTCTGGGCTGGAGACATGGCTACAAGTGAGCACCTGCCTAGTGTGTGAGGTCCTAGATTTGAACCCTAGCAACAGGGAGAAATCTCTTTTGAAAACAATGATAGAGTCGGGGAGATAGCTCAGTGGCATAAGTCCTGGACAACGCAAGGTCTTGAGTTCGATCCCTGATACCAAAAAAAAAAAAAAAGAGAGAGAGATAATGATAAGGGGTTCAGTGCATGAGATGTGAGTGTATGTGTCTGTGTGCATGTGTGTGTTGTATATAGGAAGGAACAGAACTAGGTTAGAATGTCAAAGTGATGTCACATCCTTACTTACTGTGACTGCAGATGAGACACACCTTTTATTTCCCTCTTCCTCTCCCTGAGGCCATCTCTAGAGACTGAGTTTCAAACATGATCTTTATTTTGTTGCTCAGTGTCCAGGAAGCATTCATTAACAGCCTCACCCAAATTCAGATTAATTTCAAACCAACAGCATAAGCCAGCCACAACTGTACTGGGTACAACAAACATCCCAGCAGAATGGGCCACAGTCAAGTGGGAGATGCGTGGGAACAGGCAGCCATGGCCCCCTTCAGCAGCTTAAGAGAACCACCTTCCTGAAAGTACCCATTCCCATGCTAGGTTAAGTCTGCACCGCAGCTCTTCAGCACATATCCACACACTAAGAACACGCTTCTAAAAAACATGGCTTCTGAGAAATAAGCAATGTGATTGGGCCTCACTTGGGTACCCAGGAAGCACCTGTTCTACAGGTACATCCTGCCCTCAAGAGGGGGGGAAATAAATATTAAATATTATTTCTTACTCTGAAACTTTAACCTCTCCACATTCATAAATATTGTATTTTTTCTTCTAAATTATAACTGAAAGCTACTAATCTATGGTCAGGCACCCTGGAATTTGGGAGAGAAGGGTACTTGAGCTTGAACCCAGGGCCTTCACACTGAGCTACATCCCCCCTCCTTTTCTTGTGAGACAGCTTCTTACTAAATCCTTACATTGTCCAGGGCAAGCTTCAACTTGCAATCCTCCTACCTCAGCCTCTCAGAGTGCTGGGATCCCAGGTAACCACGCCCATGCCTGGCCACTCTGAAAATCTTAAAAATGCTTCTGTGGTTCACTCATTGCATGAAATAAAGCTTCCTGGTCCACTTCCTTCAACGAACTTTGCTGTATAACATGGCGATTTCTCTAGAGATAACACATTCTTCCTCTCTTTCCCTGTAAGCATTTTCAAGATGTGATAGCAACATATTTCATTCACTTACTTAATAAATACTTGTCAACTGCTTGCTGTGCAGGGACACTGGAGGGTACAGATTTGCTCCAGTCCCTGCCTGCAAGGTAGCCAGGGGTCAGTCTGAATGAGGCCTTTGAGCGGCTCCCAGCTTCCTGAAACCCAAGCACCCAGCCTGTGCTGCTGCCTTATTCCAAACACCGTTCTGTGGACTAAATGCACTGTGGAGGCTTTATTTTCCAAACAGAGCTTTCTAATTAACACAGGCATTCCAAAGCCAACAGGATTTAAGTCAGGCATGCTATCAGATGAGTTTAAAAGTAAAAATCACTCTGATAACCTGCTCCGGAGAGCACTCCCCCCTGCTGATGGACATCTTGCCAGCCAGGAAAAGTGAAAGATCTCTTTCATATGTGCTGCCTCCGACACAGCCCCAGGCTCTGCTGCAATTTGTTGTGACGCAGGTCTGCTTGCACCAGGGGTGACAGGAGCCTGCTAATGCCAAAAATGCTTCTCTCCTGAAACCTCCAGAAGCTGGATGTCACTGAAACAACTATCTCAGCCCTCGGTGGGTACAACACCCGTCTGGCTTTCCTCGAATGCAGCTAGGTACAAATTTCCAGAAGCAACCATTCACCTTTTCAAATTACAGAGCCCAGAAGTGGCAGAGTGGAGAGAAACCAGCTGCTACAAAACAAGGGAATTACAGACAGAAACCCTGTGCAAACAGAGCAGGGGGCGAGCTGTTGGTGTTAGCTTAAAATTTCAGCTGAGTACAGGCTGTGAATACTCTGCACACTGCTAAGGTTCTGTATAACATCTAATTTTTTTTTTAAATACAAGATCCAAAAAAACATAATTCTACTTCAACACAATCCAAGCCTTTGTATGTACTGGGAGAAGAAAAATTCAGCTGCTTAAAAATCCCTTGCTCAAGAACTAGGCATAAATTTCACAGTGGCTGATAAGAGCTCATTCTAATGCCACATGAAATCTGTTTTTAAATTATTATTTTATTCAGAATGGTTGCTTTTTAATGATGTTATCTCAATTTCCTCCTAAACCTTTTTCATCTACATAGTCAGCCAACATTAATATTTATTTTGTTCATTTAATTTTAAAGTATTCTTAAATTAAAGCTCTTGCAAATATTCTGTTCCTGAAGATAATTCAGCATAGATAGTACCACAAAAATATCATGGAAAGTGTGATCAATTTGTTATAGCTGCAATCTAGCTTAATGAACACAATACTAGAAACTATTTTAGCAAATTAAGAAACAACCGTTCTAGTGCATGTTACAAAATCTATTGTTATTAATATGCCTTTTAAAAAATCTATGTGCCCTCTCATCTTGGAACTCTTACCAGTACAGTTAGATTTCATATTGTAATGACAATTACACCTAAGAGCCACCTCTTGTTAAAATATTTTCCGCATACATGCTACTTTTCATCGTCTTTTTTCTAAATAAAACCCTCAGCATTTAATTCATACATGTCAGTTTATGATATAATAAATGGTTTATTACTATAATTTCTTAGAATAAGTTATAGGTAAAACCATGATGATATGGAACTTGTACCGTATTTACTGTAATATACAGCCATAAAGTCTCTGGCTCCTCTTTGGGCTTCAGAATTTATCAGAGTAAGACATTCTGCAGAATGCTTCAATGCAGTAACATAAAATTCAAGTTTTCTCCCTGAGAAATACCAAATTTCAATACCCTACATAGTAATCTACTTTCACTTCCTCTTTGCCATAATCCATTTCCATATCTAAAAGAAGCTCTTGGCCAAAACCTTTCACTATCTACATTATGTTATTTCCTTTGCAAGTTTGCTTTTAGGAAACATGATAAAGCAATATATCCCAAAGGCATCCCCCAAGTAAACCATTACAGATTTATACTTTTGCATTAATTTGAATAGACAGCAAAGAAGAAGAAAAGCCTGTTAAATGTTTCTGATTCTCAGATAAATTTACCCTGACTTCTGTGTCCCTGCTCTATCCCATGGAAAAACACTACAGATACGTCTGTCATTTTGCCAGCCAAGTTGCTACCATCACCAACAATAGGTTCTCACTAATTTTTGAGGCTTGTGTTCTAACCATCAGAACTTTTAAAAATCACATACTTTTTAAAAAATTGTTTTCTTTGAACCAACCTCAGGACAAAAGCATTGACCTCTGCTTCCGGGTTCCCTGCATTCACGACATACAGTAGTAATCAAAGCCGGGTGGCTTCATGTCAAGGGCTCCAGCTTCTTCCTTTCTGTAACTCAAAGTTCAACAGGAGCAGTGTGTGCTTTTCCTTTCATTGCTCTGCTGAGCTTTGCCTGCAGAACTTGAAGATTTGTTCCATTCCTGGGCACCTGGCAGAATGGGATTTTCATGTAAGAAAACAACTCCTGGGTTATCATCAAGAAGCCAGAAGCTTCTCCCAGATCAGCTGTCCTCGAGGAGAGTGCCAGATGCTATCTAAGCTATAGAGGACAAATAACACAAGTAAGTTCCCAAGTAATGGAGGCCAATATAAAAAAGAATATTATTTATTACCATCTTTATTAATACTCACATGTCACCTTTGTTTTTCACACAAAAGTCTACTTTAGAAGAGCACCTCCTCAGTTTATCATGCCCAGTAGGGCTTTATGTTCCTCGACCATTTTCCCTTTCTCCACCCCAACCCACCCCCACATCCAAATTACTCTTACATGTTCACAGATACCACGAAAATTTTGTAAACAAGATTTGGGTTACTGGAACTTGATTTCATCAACATTCCACTTCAAAATGAAGGCAGGTTTGGGAGAGGGTATGAAATGGGAAAGAAGGGGCAGGGGTTGGAAAGGAAAAGGGCAACTACTCAGAACTTTCAAGTCTTGCCTTTTCTGAGGGTGTGTGTGTGTGTGTGTGTGTGTGTGTGTGTGTGTGTGTTCCTTGAAATTCACTGACTGGAAACACTGACAGCAAGTGCATGTGGTTATTTATATTATATATCTATAATAGAACATGTGGGTTTTTCAGTTTGGGTCTGGGCTGCTTGTTTAAACACACCACAATCCTCTTTGTTGACAGAATTCACAGGATGCCAGCTCTCCAGGGGAAACCCCTCTCAGAGTCGGGGCTTCCGAAGCAGAGTCTTGCTGAGATCTTTGACCTCCTCCGGGCTGTTGACCCTCTCATAGCCCAGCACTGCCATGGGCTGGTAGCAAAACTCCTCCACCTGTTTGATCTGCTGAAAGGTGAGGGCGGTCCGCCAGGCATTGGCGGCCTGTGTGGCATTGCGTGCAGACACCACGAAAGGTTTGGAAGAGGAGCCGGAGCCACTGGTCATGTTCAGGGCAAACTGCTCCATTTCTGGGCTCACCAGCAGCCCCACAAAGTCATACACCCTCCGGAGTGTCTTAACAGGGTCTCCCACCAGGTCCTCGTACCGCACCACCAGGTAGTGGCCCTGCAGCCAGTCAGGGGGCTGCAGGGCTGTCTGCAGGGTCTTGGCCATGCTATTACATATGACCTCCATAGCGCCAAGTGCATGGTAGTCTGCCGGGCCACCCATTCCCTCCTTCTTGGCACTCAGCTTGTGGCCAGCTGCTTCCAGGAAGGGCATACGATGGGCTCGTGGGTCCCGGCTGCGGACTACCTGTAGGCTCTCTCGGATGAGACCGTGGCGTGAGCGGATGCGTGAGCTGGCAACAGCACGGGGATCACGCACCAGGTGGATGACCTTGAGGTCCAGGGCGGGATCTCGAAGTAGCGGCGCCAACACCGCCACATCGAAGACACGCACGCCTTTGATAACCAGCGTGTGGTACTTGCGGCACTCCTCCTCAAAGCGTGCCAGGCGCTGAGGCGGGCACTTCTTGCACACCCTGTCGTCCACTAGGCCCACGACTTCCTTACGGTATGCGGGGCACAGAGGGGAGGAACACACCACCTTGTTGGTGGCTGCACCGAAGATGCCCAGCGTGGTGAGGTTGCGCCCCCCGCTGCCTGCGGGGCTGTACAGCTGGAAAACAGAGAGATCACAGCGGTATAGAGCGCTCAGCATGTCCCGCGCTGCCCCCTGCAGGGACACAGCGTCCCCTGGGTACAATTTTTGCCACACGTGCCACACTGGTTCGTAGAGAAAAAACACCTCCGGATTCTGGTTGAAGAGCTCGCCGAAGAAGGATGAGCCTGAGCGCCACGTGGTGAAAACATAGACCAGCTGCCGCTTGTCCCCGCCGCCCCGGGTGCCCCGACTCCCGTTTCCTGGATGGGGCTCGGAACCCACCACCCTGGCTGCGGCTGCGGGTGCTGGCCCGACGGCGGCGGCAGCAGGAGAGCGGTACGGGGTGCGGTGGTCCAAACGCGTGTGAGCGCGCGGGGGCGCGGCGGGAGGCAGCCCCGGGCGACCCCAGCCACCCCCGGATGCCCCTGCTGCGGCACCCAGAGGCGCGTCGGGGTTGCACTGCTGCAGCGGCTCCTTGTGCCACTTGTAGTCCAGGAGGTTGAGCATGGTGAGCACCAGCAGCAGTGCATAGCCCGCGCACAACACTAGCGCTTTCCTGCGGAACACCTTCATTCCGAGCGGAGACGCGGGCCAGCGGCGTCCGGGGCGCCGAGGCCACGGAGGGAGCAGGGCGCGCGGCGCGGCGGCAGGCGCAGCCGGGAGCAGCC